GAAAATGACAAACATTTAAATAAGGTCCATAAAAAAAGTCAAATACATGTAAATTTAAAGTAAAAAACATATATATATATATATATACCGTTAATTCTCAAGTTAAGTGGCTTAGTGCAATGTTAAAAATGATATCTTGTTTCTCTGCTATGTGAACCTGTAAAATGGTATAATTTATGATTTTTTTTTAATAGATTAAGTGCAACAAATGGATAATAAGTATTGTCTTATTTTTTTTTATAATGGTAAAATGACTTGAATATATATATTTTTTTATTTCTTATATATTTATAAAATAAAATCAAGTTCAAATTTTCAAAATTGGCTGGTGGTGCCCGTTCTCTCTTTTACCCTTGGTGCATCAATGCTTTGAATAGTAGGATAAAGACTTTGTACTCTAGCCAATTATGACGAGAAAATGAAAGTAATGTTTATTGTTCAATATGAAAATAGGGTCTTTGGTTGATGAATGGGAAATGTCAAAAGCGCAAATAAAGGATAAAATAAGGACAATTTTGTTCATTTACCAATTCCTTGGTTACTGGGGAATTTAAGAGTGGAGCCGGTCAGAGGTGTAAGTATGGTCAAAGATCGGCCGAGCCGTTTGAATTTAAAAAAAGAAAGTCTAAACCATTGACCAGGTTTAAAAAGTCTAAAGCTGCTTGTTTTGGAGTGAACTACTCATCTACCGCATCGGCAAATTATATAGAAAGTTGTCATTGTTTATGAATTTTTAGTTACATGGCAAACAATTATTTATCATGTTACTGATAATTTAATTATAATCATGCTGTTAAAAAATAATTTGAACATATAAGGAATTAAGGATATAATAAAGAAAAAAGAAAATGTGATAATATAATCATAGGTAATTTATTGTTTGATAAACATATGTCTGATACAAACAGTTTTTATTGTATTGTTATCTTTTTTTTTTTGAACGTGTGAATGTAGCAAACACTAGCGATTCTTTATAAATTACAAGTATTTAACGGAGAAATACACAAATTAAACCAACATAGAGAAGTATAATTAGAACGAAACTTAATCCGCCATAAGTTGAATGTCATCCGTCGTCTTTAAAGGAGAGCATCTATTTTTATTGAACACCAAGGGTTTTAGCTTTCCAAATACGGAAAATAAGAGTAAACCAGGCTAAGTGTAGTTACGTCTCTTCCTCCCATGCATCGAATCACCTAAAGCATTTATGACTCATCTCTATGAAAGGAGGCAACAAAAGAAAACTAGTCCTCCAAGAACCACAACCATCTTCAAATACAACCAGAAAAATGGCAATTGAAAAAAGGAGTTAGGTCATTTTTAGTCATTTAACTTTTGGTTTTGTGCTAATTCGGTCGCTTAACTATTTTTAAGTTTTAAAAGGTCATCAAACTTTTGGCTTTGTGCTTACCTAGTCACTTAACTTTTGATTTGGTCACTTAACTTTTAGATTTGTACTCATTTAGTCCACCTAACTTTTAAAATTGTGTTCATTTAATCACTAAACTTTTTAATTTTAAAAGTTTAGTTACTAAATGAGAACAATTTAAAGTTAAATGACACAAATCCAAAGTTAAGTGACCAAAGAAAACGTAAGTGACTAAACGATTACAAAACCAAAAGTTTGATGACTTTTTAAAATTTAAAAAGAGTTAAATGACCAAATGAGCATAAAACCAAAAGTGAAATGACCAAAAAATGATCTAAACCCTTCAAAAAAACGTGATAAACTTCTTACTCCACGAAATTATAAAAAGGGATAGAGATGAAGATAGAGTAATGCCCCTAACCGAGAGATTACTCGCCACTAGAACTCAGTTTAAAAACAAACTTCAAGCAAAACAATTTGTTTTCAAAGACACCTAACTAATCCATTTGAAGGTCTTCAAATTAGTATTATTCGACCACCTTATCAGCCAAAAAAACATCTGAAAGATTGTACCGAAAATAAACCTGATACCTCCCCTCTCCATTTTCGCCCCACCACATCATCCAAAACAGTTGAAATGTTCACTATAACAGTAGCTTCACGGCCTCTTCTAGGTTGTCTTCGCCATATTCAATTCCAATCAGTCCCTTCCTCTCCGACAAACCTGTAAAAGACCATATAATTTTTGTTTGATTCAATTTTATAAAGCTTGGGAAACACCGCTTTAAGTGGTAAATCACAACTCAATATGAAGTTATATCACAGTACACTAAAATAAATAAATATTACTTATTAATAAAGAACAGAGTTTGTTTTATTAACGAATAAAATAATTTTGTTTACGACTGGTCCCTATGATTGGGTAGTAATTTGCGTATTTGGTTTCTAACTTATTTTTTTAACTCGAAAGGTCCATACTGTTTGTTTTTTATTGCGCTTGGTCCATATCTTACCTAAAAATACTATTTTGCCCTTAATTTTTTAAATTTATTTAAATAAACACACTCCTAACCCCACCCCCACCTCACTTATCTTACCTAAAAAGAATATTTTATTTTATTTAAATAAGGGCATAATAGTCATTTTAATTAAGACAGTAACTAAGCGTGTAACAAAAACAAACAGTTGGGACCTTCTGAGTTAAAAAAATACGTTAGGGAGCAAACGTGCAATTACCCCAAACTATAGAGCCCATTCGTTGTAATTTCTCTTTTATTTAATAGTCAATTTAATTGTAAGCAATCTTTTACAACCGGTTTTTTAGTTGACCGGTTATGGTGACCGGTTCCCGGTTTAACCGGTTTGACCGTCGGGTAAACCGGTTTCTATAATTTTCATTTTTGTTTCTATTTTCCTACGCATACATAATATATAAATCATGATTTGATGTTTACAAGTTCAAACTTAAAAATATACATAAAATTAAGTTGTGAATCAATCCACAACATTAAAATAACACATAACCAGAGTTTAATGTTTTATATCATCTATATACGTCAAAAGAAAATAAAGTATAATACCGATACAAAGTATAGTTTTAGATGAACACATCAAAAAACGTTATAACATACACCATATGTTTTTATTTAGAGAAAACAAAATAGATTTGAAAAAAATCACCAAAGTTTATTATGCAAATGGTTCATTTCCAGATATTTTTATTCAGTTTAACCGGTTCAACCGGATTTTTCTAAAAACTGACAGGTTCAATCCGGTTTCAGGACAGAAATCACGTAAAACCGTGATAGTTGAACCGCTCCCTCCCCGGTTCCCGGTCCAACCGTTTCGACCGGCCGGTTTCAAACCGATTTTTAAAAACATTGATTGTAAGTAATTAACTAAATGGATCTTGTTATAAAAACGATATGCTATGAAAAAGTTTTAGAAAATACATAGTTTTAAGTATAAAAATTTAAAATAATGGCATCTTTACATTTGTAAGTCGTAACTAATCATTTAAGACCATCTCCAACTCACTTCCATTTTCGGCCTAAAAATGGAGAAAAAAATGGGGTAAATAGTGTTTCATCTCCAACCCTACTCCATTTTTTACATCATTTTTATCCCCCAAAAGTATATTTCATTCTTTTAACTTATATAATTTGTCAAATACACCCCTTTTATTAATTTGGTTTTAACAAATATATAGTCTATAACTTTTTCATTACAATAATATTAAATAAATAATATTATATTTATAATACGTAATTATAAGCTTTTGTAAAATACGTTATTATGTTTTAAAAAATTCAATATGTATTTAAATTTTAATATGAATTTGATAAACAACAAAAATTTATATTTATAATTAATTAATATAATTTAATATATAATACAATATTATAATTATTAAATATTACATTTAAATAAGACAAAATTACAAAAATGGTCCATGTGGTTTACAAAAAGTCACAAAGTCAGTCCCTATTAATTTTTTTTGATGCAAATGGTCCTTGTGGTTTGCGAAACTTGCAAAGTTGGCCCTTTTTACTAACACCGTTAGTAAAACGCCGTTAGGGACTCCAATCTGTAAGGACATTTTTGTCTTTTCAAGTATAGAAGGACTGAATTCGTGACATTTAAGAAACCACAGTGACCATTTTGGAAATTTGTTTGAAAAAATAAATTAATTTGCTAAAGGTAGGGGGAAGGGTCGAACTCACGACCTCCACCCCCTTTATTTGACCAAAAAACATTTTTTTTACATAACTTTTTTTTATATAAAAAAAGTATTTTAGTCGTATTATAAAAAAAATTCTTTTTTACAAATAATTTGTAGTATTTTTATGTATTTATTTTACGTAAATATATTTTTTTATTTCTTTAAAAAATAAGTTTTCGTATAAAAAATATGTTTTCGTATATTATATTTTTTTTATGTCTTTAAAATAATAATAATTAACACTACTCATGACATAAAAAAATGTATAAATTATGTTGAGTCACTAGTTCTAAAACCGTTTTTTGGTTATATGTATTAAAAACAACTTAACAACGATTATGTTATGTATCTAAACAATTTATACGGTTTTTTTTTATGTCAAGAGTACTATTAATTATCGTTATTTTAAAAAGCTATATCACTATTTCTTTTCCTCATCATTTCAATCATACGATT